GCCAATATCACATGCACTCAGAGCATTGTAGAAGATCTACTGTTCTTTTAAGGAAAGCAAAATGATTTTGAATCGGCTACTGACGTACACATTGTACACCATAAATTATGAGGTTGGCACACTATACATACCAAGACTGTGACATCACAGTTATTATGACCTCACAAGACTTCATGAATTATTCATGCATGATAACATTTTTGAGTTATAACGCTTATGAATTTTTCCAGTGAATGATAATTCCTCAACATTTTGAATCAGTTTTCTTTCCTGTATTCTGTACCTTACTACCTTTGTTACATACAAATTCATGTACGCATAAATGAAAACATCAACTATAAATAAGCTTATCTCTTCGGTGAGGAAAACAGCGAGATAGACATTTCGCGTTATACAATTTAACTGCATACATGTAATTATATCAATCATAGAAACATAAAAGGCTGAACCACTGACCATTCATTTGTGATGTATTATTTTAAAGAGAATGGACTTACCAAGACTAGTATATTTGCAAGTTAATAACAGTTAAAGTTGGCAGATATGCAAGGCAGGCAGTACAATTGTAGAAATGAGATGACAACATAGCATGCTGATATTAGCAGTTACTGTGCTTTCGAACCACTCTACTAGACTACTATTAGAGGAGGAACAATTGGGACTTTACTTACGGAATCGTAAGAGATTAGACGGATTTGGCTTACTTGTTCGTACAGGGTATCCGGTTCGACTGTGAGTCTCCTGCGATCTGAACAAAACACAGTGTTTGTTTCAGAGATAAACAGAATAGAAGAAGTTGACACAAACATCTTCTTGTAAATATGATTAAAACATTCAGAGTAAAAATTGAATGTATTTATTTACGAAAAGTTATGATCGATTTTATTAGACCCAGATTTGTTCATCATTTGCTTGTAGTGTTTACAAACTTATTATAATTATCATGCTTAAAACTTTCTACTGACATAAAATTTAAAAGTTGCTCTCTAACAATATAACAATACTGTATTTGTTCAAATAGAAACACAAGTAAACCCAAAACTGCATTGGTTGTACATTGAATCATTAAAATATTACTTGTTTTGAACATAAACACATTTCTAATCTACTAATCAAGCAAATACATTATACTGATGAATGTTTTGAAATTAGTAGACAACACAGTGCAAGAGATGTGGCTGACAAGTTGTACTATTTTTCAAAACGAATCTTTCTGAATCTATCTGTGGTGTGTATGTTACATTTCACGAGTCTAAACACATGGAGTCATAAAACATGATACATGTTATGATTATAGATTTCCCTAAAGCTTGGTGGTGACTGACAATATAGTAAGCAATTATACATAGTTACAATGCAGACACATGGTAAGAAGGGATGAAATGGTAACAGTTTTAGTTTCACTGTCTCTCAAATAAACTGGCCAACCCTCACATTTATTTATCTTGCAAACGTGACTAGGCTCAACAAATCACTGAAAAGAGCATCCCTAGCTGGACATAATCAGCAACATGCACATGAGATATGGCACAGGATTTCTTACCCATACACGATGCCATGCTCAGTTGAATGGCATTCTGATCCTCCCACTCTGACTTCAATCGAAAGCCTTTCGCATCCACTCTCTGTGCCCAGCGTCCCTTTGGTTGTGATGGACTACTATAGGTGTTGGGACTGAGCACTTCTTCACCAGATACCTATAAATTAACACCCCAAATATGGTCAATTGGTCAGTATGTAACTAGACTTCAACGTACATATTATGACTAAAGGACGGCTTAATTACATGTTGGTAACTTTTTTTCAGTAACGACTAGATTTTATCTTTTACAACAGAGA